CAATTTTTGTTAACATTTTAGTCAAAACACTATATTTGCGTTTTTCTCCTTGTACAACTTTTGGACTTAATCCTCGTTTCGATGTGATGGGTCACATTTTTTGTTTTTTTGCTTTGAAAGTGGATCAGAAAGATAACTTTTTCGTAAATAATGATAGTTTTACCTTTAATGTTCATTTAAAATAAGAGRCAGGATTCAAACACAAACATTGAAACAGTAATCTTGATCATTTTTCTCTGTTTAATTTCAGAATAACTTTCAGTTTAATAGAAACAGAATCTTTCCGTTTTTGTCCTCAGACGAATCGTTCCCGATGAGTCAGAGAAGTTTCCCTCCTTCGTTCTGGAACAGCTCCTTCCAGCCGTCGGTCTCCTCCYCCCTGGGCGGCGCTCTGTCGGCGCCCCACGCGGAGCTTTCTTTTTCCGGGGACCCGTACTCCTCGGCCTCCCTGCACAGCCACCTCCACCAGCCCAGCTCGGACGCTTGGCACCCGTCGCACCACCATCACCACCACCACCACCACCCGTACTCGCTAGGCGGCGCCATCGGCACGCAGAGCTCGGCGTACCCCCGCCCCGGCGTCCACGAGATGTACGGCGCGGCGTTCGACCCGCGCTACGGCTCGCTGCTGGTGCCGTCGGTGAGGTCGCACCACCGCCTGGCGTCCGGCAGCTCGGTGCCGGGGCCCAGCTCCCTGCCCTGTGAGCTCGGGAAGGGGGAGTCGGGGACCGGGTCCTCCTGGAGCGGCGCTTTCACCGGWGCCGGAGCAGAGATCGGACTGAATGTTGACACAGGTACCCCTCAGATATTACAGAAGGAATGCACTTTCTCCATGTAGAGTTGTAAGTATCTTACCTGCAGCAGGGCGTGATCAGAATGACTTCAGTTTGAAAGAAGGAGGAGCTTGAAGATGATCGTCTATTTACACAAGATAGATGTTGACATTATGCGATGGGATTTTTTTAAAATAACGGACTCCAACCAAAACTAGAGAATTGTCTTTTTTGGTGTTTGGAGTTTTAGGTTTATTTACTCTACACAAGTCTAACAAAAGTCTGCAGAATCTGTTGCTGAAGAGAAATGATAAACAGGATTGGTGGGCACCAGCTCACTAAAGCACAAATCCTCTAATTGCGGACCTAAATATTTCGTTTGTGCTTTAGCGGTCTTACTAATTTTTATAATTCATAAGCAGATTTGCGCTTTCTAAAATTAAAATGCAGTACCGCTACTAACTAATTATCTACCAGTCTTTATTATGTTGAACAGATGAAGGTATGGCTGTCAATGAATCACAACACATGTGATCCCCCTCCCAGATAAACACACTTATTGGAAAGGTATACATCCTCGCTGACTGTTGCTTTCAGCCACGGCTCTCATTTCCCAC